CCATTCAACAGATACTTACATGCTAACCAATGGACCCACTGATGATTGATGCATTCAGGCTGATGTGACTTTTGACTCTTCTTTTCTTTCCCCAGTCCTAATAAACTCTAATTAAAACGTAAGACTTAATTATTTATTTTCGGACAGCTCTTGTAGAGACTTTTGCGATATTACTTCTGTACCATAATTTTTTAAAAATAATCTCCATTCAAGTACACAGGAGAAAACTTTGAAATGGAGAAATCTTTTACTACTTTACAGACATAAACTTACCGACACTAGGTAGAATAATCATTTTTCACACATGATTTCATGTTTTTCAGTTTATCTAGCACCGCAATCATACTAATAAATTTTCCTAGGGTGAGCAAGTAGGCTTCCGACGCAATCCTTCCTCTTTTCAGCATGGCACAGCCTTTTTACCTCTGCACAAAACCTTTCAATAGCTTTTCGCTGTGAAAGAAATAATTGGAGTTAAATATAAAATTAATGATCTCACTAAATTGATTTATTCCTTGACAGTAAAAGTTATGTGATTAAAATGTGCACCAAACTTAGAAAACTCTATCACCTACGTTTTTTATGATCAGTATGCGCTGTAGTGACTACCCTCCTAGCCGCCATCAACATTGACAATCAACTGATGATTGTGACCACAGAAGCTGCTGAAATGCGGACTGAGCGTAAAACATGGTTTGTAAGTAGAAAGTAAGACTTTTCTAGATGTCATGTATGGTTTGATAGGAGTAAATAAATTGAGGAATAATCAAAGTAAAGTATGGAGAGAGTGATGGAGTGAAATTCAAATTCATTATTAGGATTTATTAAGTAATTCCAATTTTTGAGAAAATCAAAGCACAGAAAGGACACTCTTCAGTTGTAGTGTTTCAGAATCTTCACCAATTTTTCATCCATTATGATCAAGCAAATGTATGTAATTCGCTGAAACTCCGACTGAATATTCTTCATGATTTTATATTTCTCTAGATGAAAATTTTCAGAAGATTCACTCGATAGTTTCCTCTCTGAAAGCATGAAACGTCTCTCAGGGCAATAGTTCAAAAAAGTAATTATCATTTGGCAAGCGAGAATTTATCATTGTATAATCAATTGAATTCGAACCCTATGGCATAAATCCTAGAAAAAATGAAATTTTCACATGAATATTGGCAAAAATAAGATGGAGGTGTAGACGGAAAAACTGAATGAAAATCAAAAAGACTAAGACCTTTGACAAGTCCACAGCCAAGACCGTTTTCTTGCTAAATGCGCCAGGTAATTTCAGGCACGGTAACTGGTATTTTGCATGTACTATAACAATTTTTATTGTTTCAATTGTACCAATTCATACTAAATAAATAAAAAATCACACAGTTGTGCCATATAGGCACCATCACCAGTTTTTGCACGGACCTAAAAAGCAGAGGGAAGTAATTTTAGTTAATTAAGTAAATATTTTTATTAAAATTTTTAATATTAAAGACAAAGAAAATTAATTTAATCATTTTATTAGTGTAATTGATATACTTTCGTTTAGTTACTTGTCTTTTAATTATATAACTAGAGACTACAGGTGTCAGGTGGGTAACCTAAACCAAGTTCTAGCACTGTGGCAATTAGTGGAAATTGTGGTTTGAAGCATTCAAATATCCCTTTTTTTCTTGCATGTTTTTCTGGCCCGGCAAGATCAGTTACACATCTTAGACACATTGGTAGAGAATGTGATG